CCTCCGGTGTAAGAAGGCAAAGTGGTCACCTTGCTCATCATATCATTAAAAACCTTTTCTGATGGCTCAATCACCATGACTCCAGAATTCAGTCTCTCAGAATGTTTTAAATTTGCACAGAATTTCCCACATTTAAACAGATCTTCAATGCTTTTAACAACAATGGTATCAGCGTCAAGATACACCACTGCCAAAACAAGGGAGAAATAGCAAGATTAAGGCCTACAATCAGTAAACCATATGCATTTTGCATAACATAAAAGAATATATATAGTAATGAGATATCTCTTTAAAATATTCAAGTAATGAAACAAGCTAGACTTCCCTATCTTCCCCACACCCATCACCCCTTTTTCCCTTTAACTTGTATAAAAGAGATGACTTAGTTGTACCAAGCCCAAAGCCTTAACCTGGTGGATTTAATTGCCCGAGCTACCTCTCATCTAAAATAAGGATTTATGAAAGCGCAACCTGTTTCTCTTTCTTTTTAGAATCAAATATATATTCACCTAAATTTTTTACTCTTAGTACAATTATATGCATACTAGGTTATAGTCGGTCTAATAGCAGCTATATCAGTTAAACAGGTTGAAGAAATGACATCAGAAATAAAGGAATAAAACTTGCAAAAAGTAAAACCAAAATAAATAAGACCACTTGTACCACTCCATAATATAACAAGACATAAAGTGGTGGAGATCATCAAGAAGATGACAAACTTCACCAAGCCAACTTGAGAAACACATACGAAGTTCAAGGTTCTACTTTACATCCCTTTCTCCCTTAAGCATTTAGGTTGAAGTTTTGATGCATCGAATTACCTTTCTTGTAACTGGTCATGTTGAATACTTTTAGCTTTGTGTAGACGCCCCAAAACCTCTTCGGCCTCACTTGGTTTGGGTTTGCCAGTAAACTAATTTTCTCCACAATCCAACCATCTGCCTGCAAGAAAGAAACCAAACACGAAACAACCGTTTTAATAGGAAAGTTAAGTACCACATAGAAATAGCTTAGCAAAAAACAAAAATTTTGACGATTACATTTATTCTTAAATGCTAAAGAACTAGAATAACTATGATCAGGACCTGTTAATGCAAGCTCATAACAGCTACAATAAGACTGTTATAGGACTTCATCCAGGCAAACTAAATCACAATTCATAGGCATCATTTTTAACAATTTGCTTTTACTGACTGGAAAGTAATTTAGCTGCAAAATAGAAAAAATAGTAATTGAATTTGTATGTCACATCAGAATATATCTTCAAGATAGACCCAATTTACTACTTCTAATGATTGAGCCAGCACACAACATAGATTTTTGAGAATGATTTTAGTATTCACTCACGTATTGGCTCTACATCACCGATAAAGCGATTAACTTTATATTCACCAATTCACACTTTTAAGAAATACCCATGAGGATGTGAATATTGAGTTTCTTTTTCCAGTAATTTATGCTTTCGAGTCAGCATTCGTACACCTTCACTAATCCACAAGGCAATCCTGTACAGCCCGAAAATGCAAGTGACGGGTAAACTCACACACCAAAGCTAGGTAGATGGGCCCGTGAAGTATTGTACAGGGGATTATAACCCAGAAACAGCAAGCTTTCTCTTATGGCTCAACCATTGAGCCTCCTCTTAGAGAGGAAACTTAGTTATTCTTAATAAGCAAGCACATGAAAATTGAATTTATTGGTCACAAAACAATACCAACTAACTTTACATTTCCCAGCTCAAGCTTTCAAGAAACTACCCAAAGGAAGTAACTTTAGTTCTGCATTGAGTTATTCTTATAATTTGAGTATCCGAAACGGCTCCAAATGAAGCAGATTGAGATCATTCATATTGTCGACCCCAACAAGGTCAGGGAACAAGGGGTATATGCCGCTGGAATTTAAGTTATATACACCACAATGTAAAAATTAATCTTTTTTTTTTGATAAAGAGATATTATAAATGGCATCAAGAAGATGCAGAAATATAGATACAAAAGATTTGTTAGCTCCAGTACAAAGAGTCCTATACTAATGTTAAAGAGCTAACAAAGTCCAAAAAATTGTCAGTGGAGTTTACAGGTGTTAAGGTACTCCAACTGTACAAAAGTAAAAGACATTTAGCCTTAAGGAAGTGGTTTGGAGTTGCTATTCCATCAAAACATCTCCGATTCCTCTCATTCCAAATACACCAAAAAATACAGACAATGTAAAAACTATCTATACAATCAGTTAAATCTCTTGATAAACATTAATTAGTAATCAGGTAAAAATGGTAACTAAGGTGCTATCACAGTTAAAATTTACACTTAGCTGTGTCAATATATATAACTTAAATCCTTGCTGTTATAGTACTAGCAAAATACTGAGTTATTTTCTCAATAAGCAAGCACATAAAAGGGTAAAAAAAAGAAAGGTGAATTCAAACAAAGTACATCATATACATACCAAGAGGAGCTCCTTAGCATATTGAGAAACACCATCAGAGACCAAAACAACCATATCTTTAGTGGATCCAGTATCTCTAATTGATTTTCCAAGAACCCTAACCCCAAGCAAGAATTCATCTCCATACAAAAGGGTCACATATGCTTCTTCAGATTTACATGAAGCTCCAATAAAACAATCACATAACATAAAAATCAAAAATAAAAGAACCCCTAATCGTAAAACAGTGATTTTCATGATAAAAATGAATCTTTCTTTCTTTCTGTTTTCAAAGAGAAATGGAAAGGGGATCTATGTACTGGGTTTTTTTTTCAAAGTTCAAAGGGTTTTAGAATTTTTATTTTATAATGTAATTATGTGTTGTGTTAATGGTCTTTTCTGTCGTCTCCCTTTGGCTGTCTTTTTGGAAAGTTGGAGTTGTAAACCGTCTCAAACGTGCCCAAAAAGTATTAAGGAAATTGCAGCGAAAAGGAAACAAAAAAGAAAATAAGAACACGAGAAGCCGCTTTTCTCTTTGTACAAAAATAGAGGGAGAAATTCACAAATAGCCACATTTACAACTGATCGTTCAAAAATAGTTCAGTTTCAAAAGTAATCGAAATTTAGCCACTTTTTATGTAAAGATAAATTTGAGCGAAAACACTGTTCAAAACCCGGAAAATACGTCAGTATATTATACTGGAGTTCCAGCATAAGTATGTTGGAACTCCAACATAATATGATAGAGTTCAAGCATAAGTACACTACAACTACAACATAATATACTGGAGTTCCAGCAAGTATAATTGTCCAGTATAATATACTAGAGTTTGGAGCACCGGTGCTCCAGTCTCCAGTATATTATACTGGAATCAGCAAAGTATACTGATCCAGCATAATATGCTGGAGTTCATATACAGGTGCACCGAACTCCAGTATATTATGCTGGACCGGTCTCTATTGCAGCAAACTAGTGGCTATTTTTCATTGACTTCGTAAACGTTGGCTATTTTTTGAATGACCAGTCCAAAAACTAGCTATACCGTGCTATTTTTACAAAATAGAAGATACAGTGAAAATAGCACGGGCTAGTCAGTTTTCGGACTAGTAATTAAAAAATAGCCAGCATTTGTAAAGTTATTGAAAAATAAGCACTATTTTATTGTAACACGGAAAGTTCTAGCATAATCTACTAGAGATTGGTGCACCTGTGTATGAACTTCCAGCATATTATGCTGGAACTCCAGTATATTATGCTGAAAGTTCACATGTAAAAATACGAACTCCAGTATATTGTGATGGAATAATTTCCGAATTTTGAACAATATTTTCATTCAGATTTATCTTTACATGAAAAGTGACTAAATTTCGATTACTTTTGATTTTGAATTTCATCCCAAAAGATGCCCTGCCAGAGATTTAATTTAGGTCACTGGTTCAAACTACGGTGAATTTTTTTAATTCAAACTACATTTTTTCTTCTTGCCCATGTGAAAAAGAAAAAAGATAAAATTTGCTACAATATAGGGGTGCACATATAGTTATTCTCAGCGATGCTATTTAGAGTTTAGCAAGTACTTATTTTATCCTGAAATTTTTAATTATCTTAACTTCACGACAACTCAGAATATTTTTGTCCTGAAAAACTGAAACTTAGAGCGCATTGATTAATTTCTAAATCGCAGTCCTTTAAAGTCGCTATATGGTGTCATTTCTGCTATTTATAAAGGACTTCCCTACATAAAGTTAAATTTATGGAATGAATAAGTTTCCAACCAAACTAAGATTTTATTAATAAACTTATTTGAGTATAATCTCATGTATTTCTTGATTCTTCTTTTTAAATTGTTTTTCATAATTCGAGAACTCTAACATCTTATTTCTCAAATGAACAATAATGTGGATTATTTAGTTTAATTCTTGGTGGACAATATTACTCTATACATATGCTAGTAGGAGATAGCAAGTAACCTATATAATTAATAAGGTGAAGGCAAATTAAGCCGAATATAATGAATTTATAATTATTTAAAAAAATTTAAAGACCACCCGATGTACAAAGCACTCTGCATTCATACAGGGTCCGATTTCTATGTATTAAATAAGTCAAAATATTTTTGGAATTCAAAAACATATTTAGTAAATAGTATATATTTTACTTTCCATATAGTTGCCCAAGAGGTTGCATATTTTAGCCTTTACATAGTACTGCTAGTAATATTTTCTCCTTTTTCCCCCCTACTTCTCACTCTCCCTCCCTTTGGTCTATCTGCAGATTTCGCCGACTACTCCGTTCCTCTGCCAATATATAAAAGGCGCCAGCTATACAAGCATTCAATACATAGTCACATAGTTTTCTCTTTGCCGGCGATCTTCAATTCCCTCCGGCCGCCGGTGATCCAATCGATACTTTTTGCTGCATTGGTACGTATTGTGAACTGTGCTAATTCTACTTTTTTTCCTCTGTTTTGTACTACGGATCACGTCTCAAGCCCTAATTTGACGGACGTTTTGATTCCGTTTAATCAATGAGCCTAATATATTTATGTCTATTCTCGGGTAGATAAAAAAGCAACATGTTAGCAGGTTCAAGTGATTCTGTAACGTCAAGGAAGGAAGAAACCTTTCCCCTTAGTGACACTGAACTCGATTGTCTTGCTGACATTGCCAACAAGACTGTTGATGCTGCAGGAGTAATCATCCTGAAGCATTATTTGGCTCGGGGCAATGTCTTCAACGTCTCCAATGCTAAGACGAGCATCGCGGCTGAAGCAGAGAAGGCTATGATCTCACTTATCTTAAAAGACTTACCCGATCATGCTGTGTATGGGAAACAAACTGGATGGAACAATTGCAGTGGACCAACAATTCCCGAGTTTGTTTGGGTTTTGGATCCGGTTAATGGAGTAGTGGATGGACTCTTGCCTACTTTTGGCACGTCGATAGCTGTTGTTCACAATGGCAAACCCGTCATTGGATGCATCAATAATCCTGTTGCACGATCAAAACCATTGGGAGGAGGGGCAAGACTACTAGGAACGGAGATCTTGTTAGGACACGAGCATGTGAGCACCTCGAACAAGCATACACTGATATTAATGATCCTGGTTACAATGAAGATGCCAAATATGCCTACAATAGGCTCGCGTACAAGATTGGAGAAACTTTTTTCAACGGCAACTGTATTGCTTACTCTGAATTGGCTGCTGGTATGTTGCAAGTCGTCGTTGATTGTGCTGTTGAGCCCCATGGTCTTCTTGGGTTAGTTCCTATAGTGGAAGGTGCTGGTGGAATTATAACTGATTGGCAAGGAAATCAACTTTCTTGGCAACCTTCTCCAGCATCTTCTGTTCCACGGGATGGTTTCAAGGTTGTTGCTTCTGCTGACTTAACAACTCACCAACAGATTATTTTTGAACTATCATAGTTTAATTAGTCACAGGTCTATTCAAGCTTTGGTCTTTCTCCAGTTAGTTCTCTAGTCTTTTTGATCATGAAGTAGACTGGATCCATAGAAAAAGCTAGTTAGCATTCATTGTGAGTTTCACTAACAAAATGAATGTCAGTCATCGTGTGATTATACAATCTGTTTTAGACCAATATACCTCGCAAAACAAACTACCATCAATGTTTAGCTTCTTCTTTTTTCCCAAGTTTCACTAGTAGATGTTATGTTGTCAAATCCAAAAGAGTGGAAATAAAACAGCATGTTATTGTATTAGCAGGGTGGGGCGCTTGCGTGTCAAAATCAAGCGAGGGGTTGTTTTTCTTTGACTTAACGTACTTATGCACATCCTCCTCGTCAATTTTCAAATTCAGATTTTCAGCTTAGTTGTTCAACTTTTGTTCCCTAATACTTCTGTTAAAGGGGGGAAAATTGAACATTTCATATCATTGTAGAAGGATATGCTCCCGGATTGTAACAAGGTGGTAATTAACTTTTGAGCTCAACTAATATCTTCATTAGGGAGGAAGAAGAGGTTGTTTTGTCTACAGCTTCTGTAGTCTCAAGTTTTCCATACAAGAGTCTCTTTTATTGAATCATTCACACCAATTCTATCAATCCTAACCAGTACGTATTTAAAATGCTGCTTTCCTAATTAACTCTGTTTGTAAAATTTGAGAACCTGGTGACCCTTTTACTTCAGCATCACTTTGATTTCCAGATTGTTTCATGTTTACTTTTTGTCACTCTGCAACTCTACTTTCCAAGGCAACCTGTCATGGACACTACAAAAGTATTTATGTGGCTGATGGTTGTTTGTGTAATCTTATTCCCTTCTTATTCATCTGCTGGAAAATTCCAGATTAAACTCAGGTGTGGAAATGTGTATTCTGCACTTACACAATTATACTCATTTCTCACGATTTACGAAAAGAAAATGCAATTACTGGTTAGAGAGAACGAGGGGTACATCTCTTTCAGTCAAGTATAAATTGTCATAAAATTGCAAAAGCTGAATTTGCATAGGAACTTGCTGTGGTAATACTATTAGAAATACTTGGTTTTCTGGTATATTGAATTTAAGAATGCTGGAAGTAACATGAGAGATCACTAAACTGATCATCCAGGAGCTGTTTTGTGGATGTATGTAAGTCCAGATTAGCTACAAGACTTGGAGCGCTGAACTATTATCCCTTAACAGTTGGCTAGTTCTGGTAGAATATGATGAGTTTTGATCTGAGTGTGGAAGTTGAGCTTAGTATAGTGTAGATCTATGTTGTCCGGACTCTCCGAAAATGTCACCGGGTGTGTGTCCGATCCTTAAAAAGTAGTGTATTTTTGTAAGATCCGACACGGGTGTGGCAACATTTTGGAAATTCCGTGCAATATAGATGTAGTTAGCTTGTTTTTCACTAAGGTTGGGGATGCATATCCAATCTTTAAGCAGTTCTGTTTTCTCTTGAGCTGTAATTCTTTCATTTGATAATAAAAATGGCATCTTTAATTACCAAAAAGAAACGGCTATAGGCTGTGTGTAATAATTCTATTATTTTGATTCAAAGTGTAGACATGTAATAATTCGAGTCGGTGAATCAATGACTATTAGTATAAGTTGTACCAGAAAGGCTAGCTCCCAAGTCGTAAAAATACCAATTTTCACTGTTTCTTATCCACTCCCTGATGGAATGCCCGTGCACGAAGTATCCCGTTTTCACGCAGTGTCCGGAGAAAGACTGTACCCCTAGAAGTGTGATGTAGATACCCTACCTTAATGCAAGCATCAAGTAGCTGATTCCACAGTTCGAACTGTCATGACCTATAGATCACACGGAGACAATTTTACCGTTGCTCGAAGGTTTTCCTTCCTATTCACCATTTTTCTAGTTTTTTTTTCTCATCCACACCCTTACACCTTTAAACTATTTACTCTTTTTTTTCTTCTATGTTTAATGATCTTATGCCTAACCTTGTAACAATGCTTGGCTAGTGAATGTCGAAGCGGATGGAGCCTTTTCCAAATAGCCGATTATTTTTTATACAAAGTAAATATATGTAAAAGGATTTACCAAAATTAGAGCAAATATTAAATTATGAATCCATAATTTAAATATGTAACGAATTCAATAATAAAACTTAAATATAAAATTATGGAATTTAAAATCTTGATCCGCCTCCAATAGTGATATAGAGCCTTTCAAAACATGTATGATGACAAACTAATTTTCCAGAGTATATGAACTAAGGAACAAGATTATTAGAAGAGTAAAACTAAAATAAAATTAAAAAAACAAGTTTGATCCGGGTAAATGTCGTTTTCTGCCTGTCTAAATGCTCCAAACTGTTTTTTCCCCTTCTAGTCAAAATAACAACAATTATTTTATTAAATCTATGGAGTAATCGCCAATAAAACTTCTCTTTAGATGCTGTTAAGAAGTAACTCTAGAGCACCCCATGGCCTATATATTGCAATATACAAGATTGTTTAGATAGTAAATTTCATTTCTATCTCTTGTGTTTCTTGTTCTTTAAATAGATTCAAGTCCACTACAGTAGAATTTTACGGTCATGACGACTTTGGTCACCACATTTCTAGAAGAAATAAGAAAGATAAATGTTTTGGGAGTTGGGTATTTTGTGGTAACATTGCTTACTATTTATGTTACTCAATGGATTTATAGATGGAGAAATCCAAAATGCAATGGAGTTCTTCCTCCAGGTTCTATGGGTTTCCCTCTTATTGGAGAAACTCTTCAGTTGATCCTTCCTAGTCACTCCTTGGACCTTCCTCCATTCTTGAAAAATAGAATTAAAAGGTAAAATCTTTACATAAATAGCCGCCTTTGTTTATTTTTTCTAATCATATCCATAGGTTATACATTGAATATACATAATTATATACATATAATACATAAATTATGCATATATTATATATCCACCGGCTATTTTTATTTTAAAAGCTTAGGTGTGGCGGCTATTTCGGTTAATTCTTTAGATGTTGTTAGTTCTGAATTGAAAGATTGTGTTATGAAGTGTATTCATAATNATATATATATATATATATAATGGAATCTGCAGAACTAACTTATATTGCTCAGACTATCCATAAATATTGTCGCGTCCCTGTTAGATCCTCTTGAAATGCATTATTTTTGGAGGATCCGATATGCACCCAGCAACATTTTTAAAGAGTTCGAGCAACATAGGAACTAACGACCCCATTATTAGATCCGCCACTGGTGGTGAAGACTAGTATATCATGCTCCCTAGAATTACTATTGGATGGCTTCCATTGCATTTGTTCTCCTCTATTTTAGATAGCGTAATTTAACCTGTTATAATAGGTTATCTGATTTAACTTTTCGTGGTTATATTCCTTGACATTGTTATGTATAGAAGTTAATTATTATTTGATTAATTTCAGACATGATTTTTCATATAATATTTGAACTTATATTGTAATAAAATTTGTTCATAACATCAACATGATTCATTTCTACAAATTTCAGATATGGACAGATATTTAAAACAAATGTGGCAGGGAGGCCTGTGATTATAAGTGCAAATCCTGAATTCAACAGTTTTATTCTTAGGCAAGATGGAAAATTGGTTGAGACTTGGTCTTTGGATACTTTTGCTGAAGTATTTGAACAAAATACTCATTCTTCAAGAAAATATACTAGACATTTGACTCTAAATCATTTTGGTGTTGAGGCCATTAAGGAGAAATTACTTCCTCAAATGGAAGAATTTATAAAATCTACTCTTTCTAGTTGGTCAAATCATGAGTCTCTTGAAGTAAAAAGTGCAGCCATTAAAGTAAGTAAATTCCAGTCACTACTTGCATATATATTCTACTTAATTTTTTTAAGGTTTAAGTTATATATACTGACGATATAATTAATTTTTAACGTTATCAGTGTAATTTAACATGTTATAGCATGTTAACTACCTTCTTATTCTAATATCAATCAATGTTACTAAGGGCCCGTTTGGCCATAAAAAAATCACTTTTATCGGAAACTTTTTTTTTTCTTCTGAATCAATGTTTGGCCATGAAAATTTTAAATTTCAGTTGAAGTAGAATTTCGAAATTTTTGGAATTTTAAAATCTCCAAAACTCCTTCAAAATTTTCACTTCAAAAGCAGCTCCAAATTGTCTTCACGTCCAAACACAACTCTAGTATTCAAATACCATTTTCACTTGAATTTTTTCTTTTTTACTTTTTTTCGAAATTTCACAATTCTTATGTCCAAAATCCCACTAAATAGAATTACCTGCAATTAACTTTTAAGTAACCTCATTGTATAAAACGTTAGTACATAAAACTTAAACTTTGAAATTGTTGTACATTATTAACAGAATACTAATTGTTTGTTATCTGCAATAAAGGATAAACACACAGTAGTTATTGGCTTTTTGAAATTTTTACATAAATATTGTTATTTACATTTTTTTTTTGGTTGATAAATGGCAGGAAACAGTTGATTTTGCTGCAAAGCAAATATTTAGTGGTGATCTTGATAATGCACCATTCAATATTAGTTACATGTTCAGGGACTTGGTTGAAGGACTAATGTCTTTCCCAATTAATCTTCCTGGAACTTCTCATCATAAATGTTTGCAGGTATCCAATATCAAACCTTCTACCTGATATATATATATATCAACTCTGAAATTTGACAAAGAAAAAAAAGGGGGTTCTTTTCACTTTTAGCTCGCGCTAGAAACTATTTACATTCGGTAACCGAAATGTATATAAAGTTTGTCTATATAACATACAGAATATATATATATCAACTCTGAAATTTGACAAAGAAAAAAAAGGGGGTTCTTTTCACTTTTGGCTCGCGCTAGAAACTATTTACATTCGGTAACCGAAAAAGTATATAAAGTTTGTATATATAACATACAGAATATATATGTGTGTGTATATATATACATAAAAATATATACAAAAAAATACATTTTTCGGCTATTATTTTGAGAGCGGTGTCATTTTCTCAAACATTAATGCAGATTCATAAGAAAGTGCGCGAAACAATGAGAGATGTTCTAACAAAGAGGCTCAGTTCATCAGCAGAAAAACGCGAAGAAGAAGACTTGGTTGATCATCTACTCAGAGACATGGATTCTCAGAAATTTTTAACAGAGGATTATATAGTACAGATGATGTTTGGTTTGTTATTTGTTACCTCTGATTCCATTTCAACTACATTGGCTTTATGTTTCAAGTTGCTTGCTGAACATACTGATGTCTTGGAGGAATTAATAGTCAGTATCTTATAATCTTGTCTAATTATTTACTTCATATATAATATATTAGCGTATTAATTAACCATATGTTATACTTAATCCAGGCTGAGCATGACTCAATTTTGAAGAATAAAGAGAATTTGGATGATCCTCTCACTTGGAATGACTATAAATCCATGACCTTTACACTTCAGGTCTCTTCTACTCTTATAAAAATACGTGTTTAACTTATATATACTGACGGTAAAAAATTTATACTATCAAGAAATTACAGGTATATGATCATAATGGGTGAAATGGTTAACCTGAAAAGTAAGAGAAGTAACCTTTAGAGTAAGATAAACTGTGTTTATAAATTAAATTTATCATTACATTATGGGATTGTTACACAAATAGTCAGCAATTAGATTCAATGTTTATTTTTCTAGCTGGTATACATGGATAATATACATTGATTATATAGAGTTCTCAGTCGATATAAATTAAATCTGTAACAGGATAGGATTCCTACTACTTTAATTTGACATAAACCAACATTCAGGTAATTATAATAAGGTTAATCTTTTTTTTTTCCATCATATGTATATAAACTACAGGTAATTAATGAAGTCCTGAGGCTAGGAAATATTGCACCTGGACTATTCCGTCGAACCCTTAAGGATATTCCAGTTAATGGTATGGAAAAAAAAAATTAAAGTCTAAACCACATTTGTTGAAGCAAAAATTGGAAAATGGATTTATTTTCTTCTTTGTTTCTTTGTGATTTTAGGGTATACAATACCAGCAGGTTGGGTAATTATGATTGCAACTGCTGCTCTTCACTTGAATTCAGACCAATTTGAGGATCCACTTTCATTCAATCCATGGCGTTGGAAGGTATTAGAGTTGTCAAATGGGTGGGTTGAGCTGAATTTGGACGGTTAAAATGGGTTGAGTTAATAAATGGATGGTGTATTTGACTTGCCCAAAAGTAATTTGGGCTGGATCAAATTGGGCTAAAATTTGGATCATAGCCCAACCCGTCCAACTCTTACCAAGCTGTAATTAATTTGTATTATTTTCTTATGAATGCTTAATTATCAAATAAGATTTATTTTTATTTTTATGGTCATATATAACATACCAAACAAAAAAAGAATTATTTTAAAGATATTTTAGTAAAGTTATTCATGAATCAATTTGGACTAAAAATCATCCCAACTTTAGATAGGTTGAAATGAGTTGGGTTAAGATGAACCGAGTTCAACAAATGGGCGGGTCAATGACCAGCCCAACTTTGAGCGGATTGGACGGGTCAAATATGTTTGTGCTCAAATTACCATCCCCAGAAGGAATAAAAACATATAAGTAGTAGTTATTTAGCTACTAGCAAAATTATGAATTGGTCAATTAAATTAACTGCCTAATGAAATTTGTCTATTTTTGTAACAAAGGAAATCCAACCAAGTTGTGCAGCTAAGAATTTCATGCCATTTGGGTCTGGAATGAAGCAATGTGCTGGTGCAGAATACAGCAGGGTCTTTTTAGCCACTTTCCTACATGTCTTAGTCACTAAATATAGGTACTTAATCATATTTTTTCTTATGAATGTAAGTTATATATACTGGCTTATGACGTGGAATCAATGTTTGCATCAGAGTAGGCTACTTGCATCATACTCTCTTGAAGTGCGGCTCTTCCCCGGATCCTATGTGATAGCGGGATGTTTTATGCACCGGTCTTTTTACACTAACTTATGAAATTTAAGTTATATACACTAATAATGTAAAAAAGAAAATTACACTAGCAATGTAGAAAACATATGATAATATATTCATACCATTTTTACTAGATTATCAATGAATACTTATCATAGAGATTTACTAGTAATAATATTATGAAAATAATCTGACTGTGAATATTATTTAATGTCAGTGCATATAATTTAAACGGCTTTTTATATTAATTTCTTATTGTGCTAAGAAGTGATCAACATAAATTCACAGTGTTTTGTCTTGTTGAACATGAACTTTGCAGATGGACAATGGTAAAAGGAGGCACAATTATTCGAGCACCAATTATAAGGTTCCCAGATGGATTTCACTTCAAGATTTCTCAGAAGAACCAATAAAAAAAATATCATTATCATTAACATTTATCATGTCATGTTCAATTCTTGTCAAATAATGTTTGTCATTCAGTTTACTGCAAAATCCCATTTGTGATTCACTTTTTTGTTTGTTTTAATCTAAATTAAGTAAATTATGCGAATAAAATATTTTCCTGATGTGTCTAGCTGATATCTTGAAAAATTCCATTAGCGATTCTCTTTTTTGTTTGTAGTGTACTAAATATATGGTTAATGAATAATTACACCGTGTTTCATAAAGAATTAATATATTGACTTTAGGTATATATATTTTGCTTCTTTAGTATTTGACTGGTCGTAAATCTTCTCTATTTGTGCTTTATTTCAAACGTCAAATATTTTCGAATATCGAGAATTACTTTATTTGTTTAATCATTTAGTATTAGAATTACTAGCCCGATTAATTCAAATTTGTGTCATGTAAGATCCATTAAAAGGGAAACCGCTCCTTATGGAGGGATTTCGTCCATCCACCACACGCCTTGGTGGATCTAGATTACATGTATTCCCAATGCCTCCATCTTTGATATGCTAGTAGTTAATACCCAAAAAAATTCTAAAGAATACCAAAGAGAAAGGAAAACAAAAAAGGAAGCAACTTATATCCATAATAAAATTTCGGCGTTCGTTCCGTTCACGGTGGGACTCGAACCCACAATCTCCCGCTCCGGAGGCGAGCGCCTTATCCATTAGGCCACGCGAACCCATTGATGGAAACGGATCGTAGATTTCTTATTTATTGTAAAAAGATACAGGCTGATCAACAACGTAACAGGTAAACCAACAGCTTCCTGCTAAGGTTTTTGACAAAACTCAGAAAACCCTAGGCCTCTGTGATAACGAGGGAGTAAAGAAAGAGCTAATAGCTCAAAAATGGTGCTGACAATATCATCAAACTCTGTTCAATTTCCCCATACTACTTCTCTAATTTCTCCACCCAAAAATGGTTCTGTTCCACCTTCAAATTTATCATTTTCTTTCCTCAGGTAATTTTTAAAAACTCAATAGTGAAATTTTTTCAAATTCCATCATATATCCTCCTTTATTTCCTTACTCGGTGTTGTAAATTGTAATCACATTGTGTTGTTATGTGTAGTTTGTAATAATGAATTATTAGCAATTCATATCTGTTCTTTTGTATTTTAGTTGCTTCAGTTGGCTTTTGCGAAAAAGTTTGATAGGATAAGAAATAGGATTAATAAAAAACGGTTCTTTATTAGTATCCCAGTTGAACTCACGAAAGTGGAAATTTTTATATTATCATAATTGAGAAAGGAATGGATACAGACTATTCATATGCTGAAGAACACGCCATGTCAACAGATATTGCGTTTTTGCTTCCGCTGAGATTTAAACTGGCAAATGGCAATGGGAAGTGTTGAAGATTAAAGGTGCAGCCTTTTAACTACTTGATTATGATGCCCCAGTGAGGAGGTGTGAGAGATTGACGATAGTGGGTTAGAGGTAAGCCGAAGAAGTAGTGGAGAAAGGTGATTAGGCAGGGCATGACGCCTCTTAAGCTTACTGAGGACCGAGGACATGACCCTTGATAGATAGGTGCGGAGGGAGAGATTAGGGTATAAGGCTAGTAGACAGTTGAACCTTCGATTCTTTTTTGTATTTCCATATTCTTAGAATTCTATTACTACCTATATTACTCGGACTCTTCAAAAATGCTGTTGGGTACGTGTCGGATCCTCCAAATTTAGTGTATTTTCGGAGGATCCGACATGGGTGTGGCAACACTTTTGGGAGTCCGAGCAACATAGATTACTACTTGATGTTGGTTGTATTTTGGTTGTACTACTTTCTTGTTGTTGCTAATACTTCCCTGTTTTTTACACCTATTGCATTTCTTCTCTATTCTGTTGTGATTTTGCATGCTTGCTTGGAGCCGAGGGTCTATTGGTAACAACCTCTCTACCTGCACAAGGTAGGGGTAAGGTTGCGTACTCACTACCCTCTCTAGATCCCACTTGTAGAATTACACTGAATTTTTTGTTGTTGTTGATTATGATTGCATGTTGTCCTTTAGCAATTGACTGTGTAATCAGACATGAATCCATCAGGTTTTCCATAAAATCTCGACTGGGTAAAAGGATGGTCTGTGCTGCCGCTTCAGCTGCTGGAAGCTCTAGTTCCAGCGACGACTCAAATCCTTATGAGGTAATTTGCAGTTATCTCATTTGGACCCAGATATCTTCTTGAAGTTCAACTCTTAGTGAGTTGTTTGCATCTGTGGTCCTTTGTGCTAACCTGTTCTTATACAGGTTCTGGGTGTAAGCCCTATTGAGGGATTTGACATGGTTAAGGCAGCATATGCAAGAAGACGGAAGGATGCCGAGCGGAGGGGTGATGAAGCAGCTCTTGCTCAGGTAGTTTATGCTCGGCAATCTCTGTCGTACTTGCTTTCATTCTGCCCATGTGTGATTGTTGTTAGGAGTGAACACTCCAAGTAAGCTTTGCAAAATTGTTGTTTTCAGTTGGAGAAGGCTTATGACACAATCATGATGTCACAGTTAACGAAAAGAAAGAAGGGTGTCACATTTGGCTCGTTTAAGGTATTCTTTTATTTTAATGTAAGCTGATATCTTAGTAGTAGTACTAGTAGTAGTATGTTGTTCTGGCAACATTTTGTCACTCTTTCGTTTTGTATTATTTTTGTCTTCTCCGTTTATGTAATATAATGGGTGAATAGTTTTTTTCAGGGAATTCATGCTTGATTAAGATCCATATAGTCAATTCTTCATTTTTCTTTTGTATTGTGACAACTTTTCCCCTCCTTTTACTATGTGAAACTAGCTATCTCTTCTATCCCTGAATTTGCAAGGGTTATATATACACTTGCATTTATGATGTTTTATCTGTCTAAACTCTAGCTGTTTAGCTTCGTTTAGGTACAGATACTGATTTCGGTTTTAAGTTTGTCAATTTTAATTCAGGTATCTAAAGAGATACGATATGCTGATAAGCAGCCTATTGTTCCATGGGGTCCACGGTAGGTATTTTGCCAATAATGCTTCATTATAACAGCTCTCCGAAATTAGATATACTCTTCTTGCTTGTGACTATACGTAATTGGTACTTATTTTTAAAGATTTAACAAAGAGTATAGATTCCACTTGCTGAAGTTAGTTGGGGAAGTTAGTAGGCTGATGTGATATTAACACGTAAAGGCATTAGCATCTTTATCACACATATAGCTAAATGCCTTACTGATTCAACGAAAGCTATTAGTATGCAAACATTTCAGTATGTTCTAAGTTTCTCTTCTCCTTCCGGTCCTTGTCCCTTGAAACATCTTTCTTCATATTTACCTGTACGAAATCTTATGCAGCAGATTATGTGATTTATTTTACCCTCTTTAGGTATAATTCTTATTGTTTTGTTGAACTTTATCATTGATATGCTTTCAGGTTCACCAAATCTGATGACAAAGATATGAAAATCAACTTGGCAATTTCAGCTGTATTTGTAAGTACTAGTAGAATATTCATGCCTCCATCTCAATGTGGTTATCATGTCGGATTTTCAGGATGCTAATTCACAGAAGTTTGGAGTAAAATCGTGGATTCGTTTGGAAGTGTAATTTGGAGAATTCAGAAAATTATGTGAAAATTACTAAAATTGGAAGTATTTTCTTTTCAAAATACCAGAATAGATATGGTTGACTTGAAAATAACAATCTATTGAGAGCTTAATAGTACTATCACCACTCTCCGTAAATGCAGTTTGCATCCTTGATTTAATGAAATATTGATCCTCACGCTCTTAATGGTACTATGTTGTTTTATGTATTACTTTTTTGCAGATAGCTTGGGTTTTTATAAAGCGGAATGCTGAGTGGAAGCCTTTACAGTTTCTGGCCTTCGTCTTTGTATATAGAATATTTGAGAAATTAAAAGCATTTGAGCCTCCATCTCCCACTTTTACAGTAAGTAAACTTTTCTTCTATCAAGTTTACTTTAAGTATACATAAAATAGTCATTGTTGTCTCTTTCCCTTAGCATGAGTGCCAGTGAACCTCCTAACATGTCCCTCAGTAATGTGAAGATTAGTATTTCTTTCAAGTGCATTCATTTTTTAACTGGGTTTCTTCAGGAGGAGGGCGAAGATGAAGGACGGATGTTGAGGATGGGGAAAAGGCTGCTTCGTTCTCTTGCATTGGTTTTTGGTTGTATAGCCCTTGCATCCTTGGTAGGTTTTTCTGTCAGAGTAATATTTAGTGACTGTCCAATTAATTATGGTGTTTATAGATGAACTTCCGACAGCAATTGTTCGTCCTCAGCATGTATATGAAGATGAAAGTTCAAAATTTCAGCTCCATGTTCTGTCCTGCCTTACACTCTCTTGTTGTCATCAATAGCATCTTAATTGGTGTTGTATCTTGTGGAGAAGTTCAGGATTAGGACCTGATTTGTTTTGACACAATGGATTTCCAAGTTATCCTAGTACATATGATCTTTTACCATGTGGTCACAAGAAAGCCTTACTTGTGCATCCACCCTTATTTTCCCAAGTTATTTTGATTCTATGTTGCTCCAGACCACTCTTGTTTAATCAACGCTCAGAAATATTCAAATGGCATTGTTCTTGCTATTTCTTTTAAGAAATTTCGGTAAGCATACAAATCTTTGTGGTTTGTCCAATGCCGAGGAGCTATTCAATTCTTGCTCCGCTTACTAGATCTGTTATTTTCTGCTAATTCAAACACTAGGTATTTTTTCCTTCGACAAGGGAAACGATAGGTGATTTTGTGTGTTAGGAGATAAACACATTTTTTTCAGACACCTCGATGTCGAACTTGTTTTCCACTCCAAGCAATTTTGCTTCTTCTGAATATTGACAAGTTTTTCTTCCACACACTAGTTTTGGCTCCCATCCTTTGCATCTTCTAAACTACTAGGCAGTAGAAGTAGCTATCAGAAGTTTGACAAATAATGCTCAAATGGTATTTGAAAACTAACTGTTAACTTGATGAAATAGGAAGTGTAAAACAAAAAGGTTATCACGAATAAACATTTCGGTGATAGCTTTGGGGATAAACCTTCTTCACTGTATCCAAGATTGCTCAAGTTGTAAGTCTTGCTTATCTCTGAACACTTAAGCAGATATTAACTGATTCACGAATGAGAAATGGCAGTGTTGGTAATATAACAAGTGCATGTACAAAAAATTGTCAGTCTATCCAAAAACTCATTCTGAAAGAACCTGCCTTTTGCTTTCTGAATCATCTCTCATCTTGGAATATATCACATATTTATCTCCTGTCTATATCAAATTCCTTTATTACAATTGGGCCATTCATCCGTTGCAGGGATATACTGGTCTGCTAAACCTGATCGAGTATGCTAATGGTTTCATACCTGTCTTTCTGTACAACAATCAGGTAAGGGAAGATCTACCTCCACCGTAAGCTGTACCATTGCTGCACGAACAAATGGCTTCGCATATGATAGATATGATGATGATGTTTTATTTATCTTAAGAATCATCTTTTTGCTGCAGTTATGAGTGAAAAATCACTGAATAGTTAATGACATTTCTTCATCCTATGAATAGCTAAAGAAAAAATGCTTTCGGTTTGGATTAGTTTGTCTAAATGAATTCAGGCTAGGTCAAATAAGAAAGCTCAGTACTCAAATCTCCATGTGGTAAGAAGAGGTCGATTTGAACTTAGTCGCAGATCGCCATAACTTATGTTTTCCATTAGCCATCCATTCTTTCTTAAGGTCCAACTGTAGCCTGTAGAAGCACCAAAAACATATTCCTAGTGAACATCTTACCAAACCAAAACCTTCTCTGTTGTTTTTTCTGTTAATTTAGTCTTTTTGGCAAATGACTCATTTGGTCACCTTGCACCGACTAGAAGGCTAAGGATATGTTTTGCCGGGGGCGGATGGAGAGTTGTGCTGCTAGGTTCATGAACCCAGTACCTTCAATGCGGAGCTTAAATTGATGTGGAGAAATTCACTTAAATTGCAACATATAGTAGGTCTGAACCCATAATTTTAAAAGTACAATGGGTTCAATGGCAAGAACATTAAAGGTTGAAGCCATAGAGCTTAAATTCTGAGTCCGCCTCTGTGTTTTGCCCTCTTGCACATGCTTTCATTGTGTATTCTGGTGCGCGCTTCTTTATACTTGTGCTAGTGTTATAATGTTAATATGTTCAGATGGTACATAAGGTCTTCTGTATCTCCACTCTACACGACTTGGAAAACAATAAAAAGCAGGCATACATCCATAACACGATTATAACCTCTTTACTTATGGTATTGAATTTTTTGCACGCGCAGGAATTGCTTGTAACTGGATTTACAGCCGTCGTGCTTCACATCATGGCATCTTACTACAGATAGTCCACCTTCTACACTTGTCGAAGAGATACAGTTGCCTTGAGTTAGCTGTCAGATTTTGTAATTCTATTTGTTTCAGAAATTTGTCTGTTTTGTCTATAGGAGTTACTAATATGTACATTTGGTACTCATCATTGAAGAGAACCAACCGGCAGTTGTAAGAACGAACTAGTTTTGAGGATTTTAGGTCCATCATCTTTCTTCTTCTTTACTTCTGACTTCTTAACTTTATCTCCAAAATGCATCACATGGCTCAAGGGATACTGGAATTTGCCTTTGATTCTGCAGACGGATGGTTATTTCAAGAATTTTACATGCTAGCATTTCAATTATTCTATTATGTATTTAACCAAAATTAAACTTTTTATATTTCAATCATCTCAGTTCGGTAAATTTTTTATATTTATTTTTAAAATGTCAAATGAGAAAACTATTGTTATTAGGATTCTCACTTGTTATCTACAAATATCGAACTTCAATACAATATTGAAAAGATCTGAATTCTCATGTTAGCAACAACAAATGAAATGAGTAACACTAATTTTGGTGCATTATCCTTAATTATACAATCAATGTACATCATTTAAAAGTTTGGTTCTTGTCGATATTGTTCGATAGAGTATATATTAAGAACAAGTTAAAATTAAGATTAGATGAATGAGAGGAAAGAATAAAAAAAAACACCAAGTTAATAGTTTACAGAATTATTTCAACAATTGTAAATTTCATTCTATCATTGTCTCATTTAAGGCAACTAAAAATATATGCGAGTTGTATAGCGTATAGCGGAAACACAATCAAAAAAGTATTATGAAGTTATAGATTTTCATTTGTGAATAAATCCCTACTGCTTTAATTGTTGCACTTCTTAAATTGTGACTCGAGTAATTGACACATGCTTTAGCACTCGAACTTTTATCTTATTCGTTTTTTCTGAGATATTTTTGGAAAAATGACATTGCATAGTCGCTCTCAAAATAGTAGTCGGAAAAATGTATATATATTTTTTAATATTTTTTGTATATATATACATTATGTATGTTATATACAAAAATTATACACTTTTACAGCTACTGAATGTAAATGGTTTATGGGGCGGACTAAAAGTGATAATACCCCGATATTCTTTTGTGGATCCATCATTCGATTTGGATAGAGATTTTTACATACATATACATTATCGGAAACTTTATTACCAAAAATGTCCATGTTTAGTTAATTATCCGACCTAAACAAGTTTTGTTTACAAAATATATACATTCCACCTTAAAAGGCTCACAGTCCATTATTAGTGCCTACAATTAAGGGATTTAGCTATACATTTTTCTTTTTTTCTCTCCTCTTTCCCCTTTTCTCTCCGGATCTTCCACCCACACAACAAATCTTTTTGGTTCCTCTTTCTTTCCTTCTTCGACGCCTAATTGCTTCTCCTTTAAGTTATAACCTTGGAAAAAGATTAGACCCACACCAAGTAATGCCATTCCTATTTTGTCTTTAATTAATGGCATCGACTTCAAAGATCAATAGGAAATATATTAGAGAGGTTGAGACGTCACATGTATTCCGCCAACTTCTATTTTTTTCAATGATGTGCAAATATGAGGGTGAAATTGGGATAGTAGTGGTCCATATATTAATTTCAATGTCAACAATATTGTGATAAACTCGGAGTAAGTTACGACGCATTACTTTTAGCCATTACAGAGCATCTATCAATTGATATATAATTACAACTTTCAAATATTATTTTTACCTAGTTATATACAATCACAATATCATACTACTTAAATATAAATTTTATACAATATGTCTTTTGTATATTTTGTATCTAATTTATACATAGTAAAAATAAATTTCATACATCTAATTATATTTTATACAACTTATCTACAATTTATCTACAACTTTTATATATTATTTTTACCCAGTTATATACAACTACAATATCACACCACTTAAATACAAATTTTATACAATATGTCTTTTGTATATTTTATATCTGATTTATACATAGTAAAAACGAAATTCGTACAACTAATTAAATATTATACAACTTATCTACAACTTTCTTACATTATTTCTATCCAGTTATATACAACTACAATATCATACAACTTAAATATAATTTTTATATAATATTGTTCAACTTTCATACAATATTTAAAGGCGAAATACATAAAGCGCCCATTTAAGTTGTCCCCAACGATCAACTGAATACCTCAATTGAGGTCATTTCCAGCTAGACACTTTATTTATTCACAAAAGAAAATTAACTAAACACCCGACCATGTCAGCCCCCACTGCATGAAATGCACTCTTTGGGACGCGAGTTGCCAACCTAAAATTAGGTTTTTTTTTCTTTACTAAAATAATATGGACCACACTTAATTTTCACACCCCTTTCTCCTCCCATTCTCTCCTCTTCAACACCCTCCTCTACCCTAAATCACCCTTGCCTCTGTTACAAAAGAACAAAATTACCAAATATATCATCCCATCAATTCAACAAATTTTTTATACCAAACCCATTCTTCTCTTTCACCTGCTCCTAATCTTTACACCAGTAGACCTCTTATTAACAGTCTTCGCTCTGCGCACCAAAGAATAAAACTAGCACTTATAAAAAAAAACATACCTTTCATGGATGATCAAGACCAGTACATTGAAATATGCAATACTTGTGTCAGGAGAACATATATATCAAGCAAATTTTCAATCCAATCATAATACTCAAGAACTCAATTGGAATACTAGAGTAAAGAAATATCCATCCAATTATCAGACACAATAAGCAATTTCGAAGGAAAAAATGAAGGCTGCCGGAAATTTTTCAATCCATCTGGTTCTTCTTACTTTCTCTCTCATAAAAAAAATGGAGTTTCTTCTTCTGCTCTTCTTTATCGTCATATTCAGACGCCAATGGCATGCCATTTTCCGAAAAGAATTTGTTGCTCCGAAGGCGGCGATTGATGGCGATGCAGCGGCAGAAATGGAGGAGCCCGCGGCTGCTATATAAAATGAGAGAGGAGATGATAAAGAAGTTTCTTTAAATATACTCCTTCCGTTTTAAATTAGACGAGGTACTTTTCTTTTAGCATGTTCCAAAATAAATGACACACTTCTAAATTTAGAAATAATTCAACTTTAAACTCTTCGTTTTATCCCATTTTACCCTTAATGAGAAGCATTTATAACCACACAAATATCATGGCCCCACAAAATTTTTACTCCTTAAGCTTTTAAGACCACAAGTTTCAAAAGTCTATTTTGTTTTCTTAAACTTCGTGCCAAGTTAAACTACCTCATCTAAATTGAAACAGAGGGAGTATATTTTTGTTAATTACATAGTGTCAAATTTTTATGGCAAAATTACACGTGTCATTTTTTGATTGGTCCATTTGACAGTTATTGGCAAGTGCAATTCACGCATATGGTCTGTTGTACTCGGGTGTTTACTTGACCTACTTAATAGCCACTTGAAGCGTTAAAATGAAAAATGATTTGGTTGAGGTGTTCAGTTGATCGTTGAGGACAGCTTAAAAAGACGCTTTGTGTATTTCTAAAAATATATATATATATAAACAACAGAATATAATTTTTTTACAATTTTACTACAACTTTACCACTATTTCGTAAGTATAATGTATGTCGTGTCTTCTTCTACTTCGACGAGTTTCAATATGAAATTTAGCCAAAAATCAAGTCTAATATTCACCAAAACACCCTCAAAATTGAGATATAAACTCCAAATCATATTCACAATTGTTTGCAACAACATCCAATCCAAACAAGTAATAGTTTTTGAAAACCCAAATTTGAATTCAAAGTTTTTTAATGGCCGTCAACGGTGAAATTGCTTCTCTCTTTTCCTTTGCTTTACATTACTGGAATTAGGGATTGAAAAATAGAAAGAGACGTAGAGAGAATTCCAACTGTTTGCAACAATACCCAATTCAAACAAATAATGTTTTTTGAAACCCCAAATTCGAATTCAAAGTTTCAAAGCTTTTTAATGGCTTTTAATGAGAGAGGGAGAGAGAGAGAGAGAGAGCATGAGGGAGAGAGAATAATGATGAGAAATAATTGATTCCTACTGTAAATGGATACTCATTTAATTCCTAAAGTGTATATAATTGGTAAATTTATATATAAGAGGTAATTAAATTGAAACTTGAGTAGGGAGAATAATCAAGTTTCCAATAGTATATAGGTATGTAAAAATCCCATTTGGATATGACACTTAAAATCGATTTTAAGAAGTAAAAACTAATTTAACCCGAAAATTCACTAAAGGGCCATTTGCCAATCTGGCCATTTCTTAAGGCGTTTTAATTTTTCTTTAATCTATATCTATATCTATATTATATTAAAAGCACGAAGGTCGTTAGCGAAATATCGTTCGCCTTTATCCTTTAATAATAGCTTTTAAAACCTCACTAAATGGATAACATTGAACATTTGAAGGGAGATTAAATGAGAAACTATAAGACTCAGTTTTTAAATTTATGTTATTTGACTAATCTTTAAACAATCGTAATATTAGTCTATACCATGTGTATCTCTTTTGAAAGAACTTGAGAATAGCTTTTGAAGAAAATTTCAGAAATATCTTAAATCTTTAAGGCCTATGTGCTTTTAATGAAACTAAAAAGGAAGCACAATAACTTGTGCAATTGAACTAACAAAATTATAAAATTGGGACATAATTTAAGGTGAATGACAACAGACTTTTATAAAAAACGTTTTTCCTTTATTGAATTAGCTATATATGATCATTATTCATCAATTTTATAAGCTTATTTTTAGTTAATAACTCAAACATAATTTTAAAAAAATATATGTAATTTTTTTACAAAATTTTACTCGATAATATGCATGGGTAACACGTGCAACGCGCGTACACTAAGACTAGTTCTCTAAAACAAAAATGCCTATGTTTACGCATCGTAAAAAGAGGCTAAAATCTAAACCTGCTCATAAATGGCCAGTCTATGCAAACAAATGCATATATTTGAACCCAACATTTGAGTGATTGGCCCATAGTAGCCGACCCCAGCTACCTACACTCCAATCCAAATCTCAGCTCAAGTCGAATTTGGAATTCCTCGAAGATTATAATGGTGCAATCTCATCAGCTTCAGTACTAAAGCAAGTTCGAAAAATCCCTCTCGTCGGAGACCGACAAACGCCGCCACGCCATAAATCGGAAAACCCTATCCTCACCGGCGTATAGATTTTAGCACATTCAAACACAAAAAACTCGGCGCGAGCTTATATGTTGAGGCAGCTTCCGAAACCCTAGATTACTCCGAGTCTCCCTTGGGAGGCTGAAATAATCAGCAAAAATGAGGATTATGATAAAGGGAGGAGTATGGAAGAACACGGAGGACGAGATTCTAAAGGCGGCGGTGATGAAATATGGTAAAAATCAATGGGCTCGTATTTCTTCTTTACTCGTTCGTAAATCTGCAAAGCAGTGTAAAGCTCGCTGGTATGAGTGGCTCGATCCTTCCATTAAAAAGGCAAGTTATTCTTTTTTTTTAAATTGGTTAATTAACCTTGTTTCTGTGTTATATATATGTTGTTACTGTTTGTTCATTGGTTTTGATAAATGTTATGTGAAAATTGTTTTGTTATTAGTAATTTTTCAATGTTTGGTAGGGTATAAATGGAGATGTTAGGGTATAGATGTAGGTGACGTGGCAGCTAAGGGTGTGACCTAGTGGTCAATGAAGTGGGTTAAGAATCACGAAGTTTCACGTTCAATTCTCATCGGAGGCGAAAAAACTAGGTGATTTTTTCCCATTTGTTCAAGCCTTGGTGGACAGAGTTATCTGGTACTTGTTGCCGATAGTATCCCTGAAATTAGTCAGGCCGAGTTAGTCAGGTGCGTGCAAGCTGGCCAGGACACCATGGTTATAAAAATGTAGGTGACATGCTCCTAACGCATGGGCAGATGTAGCGTTGAACTTATGGATTCATCTGCCCCAGTAGCTTGTTTCATGCCTCTGACTCTCCCTCGGTTCATTCGGAAATCATGGTAGTCTTTTCATGGAGATTATTGAGAACGAAAATGTGCCCTGGGGTTAAGAACAACGACAAAATTACCTTTTGTCTGTTGCCATGGAATGTATAGGTAGGGATTGTCTTATGCTTGGAAAGCCCGTTCCGCGCTCTCTATCCCCTTTTTTCGGGGTCCCCATGAACCGCTTTTTAGTATTTGTGTTCGCCTTCTTCTTCCTTCCCTTCCACACAGAAGGATCATGGGGTTCTCCTAACACACATATCCGGGGGTGCAACTGTTTAGTGGGCAAGGATCGGAACGGGCGGATCCCAGTATATATGTTAAAAGATCCAATAAATAAGTATAAATGATAGATTTTGAACCTAGTAAATCAAACAGGATGTAGTAAGATAACGAACTTGTAACCATAATGTTCAAATTGATTAACCTTGTTGTCGTATTATATGCTGTTAATATTTGTTCACTAGCTTTGAAAAATGTTTTATGTAATTATTTATTTGTTATAATCATAATTTTATTAGGTGATACATATTAGCTGAGTATATGCTTTAGACATTAGCACTTTTTGCTGTAGGTTTAATGCTTTACAGTAGCGGTTTAGCCCTCCATAGATGTATATGTTTATAAAATATGTAGAACTTCTAATATGAGTACTTTTTATTTATATTTTCATAATATTGGCCTGAGATAAGTTTAAATGGAGTGGCATGGTTAGTGAGGATTCATATAGCCGCCCTCGACTTGTTTAGGACCGAGGTGTAGTAGTTGATGTTGTAATATTTTTTTTTGTGGAAAATGTTTTATCTTTGGAAATTATTTTCAGGAGCATTTTTCAAGGTTTAGTAGGGTGTAAAAGTACTTGACACATATGCTCATAGTGAGAGCTGCAGGATAGTGTATGAGGATAATAATAATTAGGGTTTTTTGAGTACTAATTTTTGACAAACAATGTCTAGGTGTTGATTCGAACAAGTGATATGGCATACATGTTGAAGATTTCTGAGATGGAAAAATGACATATGCTATTAGTCTGTTTCCTCCAAATTTGAGTAAAGTATTTAACATTCTCCACAATCCATGATAACCAAGTCGGAATATATCATGTGGAAAAGGTTGAGGGACTTATGAATTAGCCTCTTAGGTAACAGGTTCGAGCCTTGTGCCATTCAAATTAAGGTTGAGGGGCGGGCCCATTATCCCGAGTGTCGAAGGTTGCGATTGGTCCTAAGGATTGGCCCCAAACGGATTTTTCGATCATAAAAAAGAGTCAACCATAACAAACATACCCTTCGTAGTCTCTGGTTGTTTGAAGTTGGGTTTTTAGATATGCAATTGGAATCCGCAGTAGTTTGTTAGTGACATATGACCATCCTTTCTGTGTCCCTTGTTTTTATCTATATATGACCATTTTTCGGTGCCATTTGGTTATTTAACACCTTCGAAGCATTCATTGTATCTTGGTTTTGGTTCTTAGTTCTTGCTAAGTTTAATGCGCCATGCAATTTAGCTTTGTAATTCTTGCACTGTTATATCTTTGTGGATAACTATTATCTTTTCTTCCGGTTCCATTTGAATGAGAAAAGTTCTGCTATGTGAGCGTACCATGGCCTTCACCCGTTTTTTTTTTTTTGGTTTCTGTATTATATGCTGTTAATATTTGTTCTTTGATTTTGGAAAAAAGTTCTCTGTAAAAAATTATTTTCATTTATATGAACCTATTTCCTTTTTAGTCCATTTAAAAAAAAGACCTCTTTCTAAATGTGGAAATTATGTAACTTTACCCATTCATTCTTAAATTTTTTAAAAAAAACAAATAGATTCACATAAATTGAAATAGAGGGAGTAGTAATTTTTCTTTGGAGAAATGTTTAATTTTGGATTATTTTTTATAAATTTTTGGTAGGGTATATAAATGTAGGTGAGATATGCTCATAGTGCAATGTGCAGGATGGGGTATGGGGACAGTGATTAGTGTTTTTTTGAGTATTTTGACAAACAATGTCCAAGTGTTGATTCGAACAAGTGATATGAATGCGAGTTAAATATCTCTGAAAAGGAAAATTACTTTTGCTATTTCGTGCCAAAGTTATTTTCCCCCAAATTGCCCCCGGGGTTTAGTTCAAGCGGCAAAAGTTGAGGGACTTGTGGCTTAGTCATAGGTTCGAGCTCTGCGCCATAGTCTAGTATTTAAGTGAAGAAGGATAGATGGCCGGGCCCATTATCCCGAGCTTCCAAGGCTGCTTTTGGTATTTCTCGTTCTTTAAAAAAGGCTATTTTCTTCCAAATTGGAGTAAAATATTATACATTTTCCACCGTCTATGATAAACCAAATTGGTAAATGATTTCGTCAAGTACCATAACAAATATACCCTTCATAGTTTCTAGGTGTTTGGAGTTGGGATTCTTTGAGATATGTTATTGGATTCCGCTGTACTTAATTTTCTTGCATGGTTGTTAGTGGTGTGACCATCCTTTCTGTGTCCTTGTTTATTTATGTATGATCATTCTTTCTGTGTCATGTGATTATTTGTACCTTATAGTATTCATTGTATCTTGGTTTCGGCTCTTTGTTCTTGCTTAGTTTAATGCGCCATGCAATTTGTCTTTGTAATGTCTGTCACTGTTATTTCTTTGTGGGTAATTGTTACCTTTGTTCCTATTCCATCGTGAATGAGAAAAGTTCTGCTTTGTGAGCATGCTATGGCTTTCTCCGAGTCTGCTTTTTGGTTTGTTTACTCGGGATACAATTTCTGAAACCAGTTTCTGTATAGAAATTTCTTTCTGGGCTTTTTCAAATTTTTTCTGGTTTTCCATTTATCAACGGCATAAAATGATTTTCTGAACTGAGAAAGTGGAAAGTACACGGATTTTCCGATTTACCTCAGGCTGTTAGTAGGAACTTATATCTGAGTTTAACAACTTATTAACATCCTCGCTGCTCTTTATTTTTTCCAGACTGAGTGGACTAGAGAAGAAGATGAGAAACTACTTCACCTTGCAAAGCTCATGCCTACCCAGTGGAGGACTATTGCGCCAATTGTTGGTCGTACACCATCCCAGTGCCTTGAACGCTATGAAAAGCTTCTCGATGCAGCATGTGCTAAGGATGAAAACTATGACCCTAATGATGATCCAAGAAAATTGAAGCCTGGAGAGATTGATCCTAATCCAGAATCAAAGCCTGCTCGTCCTGATCCTGTTGATATGGACGAGGATGAGAAAGAAATGTTGTCTGAAGCACGGGCTCGGTTGGCCAACACAAGAGGTAAGAAGGCTAAAAGGAAAGCCAGAGAAAAGCAGCTTGAAGAGGCTCGAAGGCTTGCTTCCTTACAGAAAAGGAGAGAACTGAAGGCTGCTGGAATAGATGCCCGTCAAAGGAAGAGAAAAAGGAGAGGAATTGATTACAATGCTGAAATACCCTTTGAAAAGAAGCCTCCTCCAGGTTTCTATGATGTTGCTGAGGAAGACCGTCCTGTAGAGCAACCTAAGTTTCCAACTACCATTGAAGAACTAGAAGGTGAAAGGAGAGTCGATAAGGAAGCTCGTCTAAGAAAGCAGGATATTGCAAGGAATAAAATTGCAGAAAGGCAGGATGCCCCGACAGCCATATTGCATGCAAATAAACTTAATGATCCAGAAGCAGTGAGGAAGAGGTCGAAACTCAATCTTCCTGCACCACAGATTCCAGATCATGAATTGGAGGCCATAGCAAAGATAGGTATTGCCAGTGATCTACTAGGGGGTGATGAACTCTCCGAAGGGAATGCTGCAACACGTGCTCTTCTTGCAAATTATGCCCAGACACCACAGCATGCAATGACTCCTATGCGAACACCTCAAAGAACCCCTTCAACTAAGCAAGATGCCATTATGATGGAAGCAGAAAATCAACGAAGATTGACTCAGTCTCAGACACCATTACTTGGAGGGGATAATCCTATGTTGCACCCCTCAGATTTTTCTGGTGTCACTCCTAAGAAAAGGGAAGTTCAAACACCAAACCCACTCTTAACTCCTTCAGCGACTCCTGGAGCCACTGGCCTTACTCCTAGAATTGGCATGACACCTTCAAGGGATTCTTATGGCATGACCCCGAAAGGAACTCCTATGAGGGATGAGCTACGCATTAATGAAGAAATGGATATGCACAATAATGCTAAACTTGGGCAATTCAATTCAAAGAAAGAATTGCTTTCTGGTTTGAAAAGCCTTCCTCAGCCCAAAAATGAGTACCAGATAGTCGTCCAACAACCTCATGAAGAAAATGAAGAACCACCAGAAGAGAAGATTGAAGAAGACATGTCTGATAGGATTGCAAGGGAGAAGGCCGAAGAAGAAGCAAGGCAACAAGCTTTACTCCGGAAAAGGTCAAAAGTACTGCAGAGAGAGCTCCCTAGACCTCCCATTGCTTCACTAGAACTAATAAGAAGTTCCTTAATGAGAGCTGATGAAGATAAGAGCTCCTTTGTTCCTCCTACACTAATTGAGTTGGCTGATGAAATGATTAGGAAGGAACTTCTGTCTTTGCTAGAACATGATAATAGCAAGTATCCTCTAGATGAAAAAGCAGAGAAGGAGAAGAAAAAGGGGGTCAAGCGAAAAGTGCTTGCTGAACCTGCGATTGAGGACTTTGAGGAAGATGAACTGAAAGAGGTATGTTCATGTTACATAAAGAAAAATGGTTTGGCTCTACCCTTGTGTCAATTTATTTTCCCAGGAGCAGTCTTACCTGCTTTGCGGCATTAAGGTATTTAAAAATGATATGCAAAATCCCAAGTGAACTTTTTATTTTTGAGCAAAAGAGTTTCAGATTACTTCAAATGCATGTAAGACTTCAGAGTTGTTAGTGTCAAATTAATACTAGAAAAGAAAATGAGTTGCCTAAATTTCAATATAAAGCATTTGGAAACTGTTCTTTTACAATATCATCTAACCTTTTTATGTAATGGATATATGGAATCATTCCTACAATTGCTGATAAAATTTCACTAAACTATGGCTGTAAGGATTGTGGGAAAAAGAATAGGTTCAATAGGCTGGACAACTATCTATGTCAAGATATATATTAAATGTACGTACTATATATATATATTATTCTTGACTCCACTCAACACAAGCTAGCTTACATGCTCAACTTTATGAACCCTACTCCTACACCCATGACACCATACATGGTGTCCCGGTTTTGTTTTTAGTATTTATTGTTGTGAGGACTAACTGAAATTGGACATTCGGGTCTTTCGATTAGACGCCAAAAATTGTTAATGGTTCCACTCTGGGGGATCATTAAGTACTCACTTGGATGCCATTTGTGTTTGTGTGAAATATGTTGATTATGGCTTTTTTTCTGCAAGATTCAGTGTTTCTATGTGCATTTGACTGTTAAAATAATATTTGGAAGTAAATAAATCAGGTCTGTTCGTCATAGGCGCCTTTTCCATTTTTACATTGTGCTATTAGATGTGCCCTTGTCATTACCAATTTCGTGTGCAACTATCTATGTCAAGATATATATTTAAATGTACGTACTATATATATATATTATTCTTGACTCCACTCAACACAAGCTAGCTTACATGCTCAACTTTATGAACCCTACTCCTACACCCATGACACCATACATGGTGTCCCGGTTTTGTTTTTAGTATTTATTGTTATGAGGACTAACTGAAATTGGACATTCGGGTCTTTCGATAAGACACCAAAAAATGCTAATGGTTCCACTCTGGGGGATCATTAAGTACTCANTATTGAAGCTGATGATGTGCCTGTGGAATCTTCAGAGACCGGCCAGTGTTCTAATGCAGAGGAAAAATCTGCTTCTGCCGCTCCTGTATCATCATCTGCTATTGAAGCTGATGATGTAGNTCTATGTGCATTTGACTGTTAAAATAATATTTGGAAGTAAATAAATCAGGTCTGTTCGTCATAGACACCTTTTCCATTTTTACATTGTGCTATTAGATGTGCCCTTGTCATTACCAATTTCGTGTGCAAACAGTAATGTTTTCTGGAGTTTGTGTGATTTTATCTTCATCTACTGCAACATAACTAACTCCACTCACGCAGGCTGATGGATTTNGCTGTGGAATCTTCAGAGACCGGCCAGTGTTCTAATGCAGAGGAAAAATCTGCTTCTGCCGCTCATGTATCATCATCTGCTATTGAAGCTGATGACGTGCCTGTGGAAGCTTCAGAGACCGGCCAGTGTTCTAATGCAGAGGAAAAATCTGTTTCTGCCGCTCATGTATCGTCATCTGCTATTGAAGCTGATGACGTGCCGGTGGAATCTTCAGAGACCGGCCAGTGCTCCAATGCAGAGGAAAAATCTGCTTCTGCCACTCATGATGCAACTCCTCTGGACGTTGAGGAACAGGTGAAAGTGATCGGTGACGACTCTACAATGGATGCTGAAGCCATAAGTGAGAATGTGCCTATGGAGGGTCAACATATAGGAGAGAGTAACCAGGATGTTACCAAAACAGAAGATTCTAGAGTTGCAGATGATGCACAGGATGTTACTAAAATAGAAGATTCCGTAGTTGCAAGTGATGCGGGAAACTAGTAATGTTCTAGTTTTGCCACTAAGAAAGTGAATGATGGTTCGCTAGTTGTGTTGTAATCCCATTTTCGTACATTTTTGGAACAAAGTTGTACTTCATTTCAAGAATGTCTTGTATGGTTGGATGAAAATTTGGAAGTATTAATTTGAACTGTGGTTGAGCTGCCTACGTTCTTTGCAAAATAATGAACTGCATACCAATTTTTCTAGTAAACTAAATCTTTAGGTCTTTTATTTGCTGTATCATTCTATGGGTACTTCATACTTGCTTTTTAGGCTTGTGTAATTGTGAATTTAATTTTTAACAAACCTATCCGTTTCAAATTGAACGTTGTGGTTTAATTTACCCGCTTGTTGGAGAACCAACATTTTGAAATGCTACTATTTTATACTCCGTTAACATAATATTTTAGAAGGTTATCAAGTATATCCTTTCATGACATATATCCTTTGTTTGAAGTTTGAGCATGCGGAACAAAATTTAACTTTGAAAGTAGTCTTCAGTCACAATTGATTTAGGTCCATTTCAGATTTCATTTCAGATTATATAAATTTAAAAATTAGAAATTTATATAAAACTTCAATCATTGAAATTTGTATAAATTAAAAGAGTTAGGAAAAACTTGAGAGAAACTACTAAGATGGAAAATTTAAAACGTTTTTGAAATGTTTTTCGCGTTTAGTTAAACCTCTGTTGAACCAATTACTCATATTATGTATCATACTCTATTTCTTAATTAGATTAGATCTACTATAAGCCATTCAACTAAATTACAGTTCGACTTCACTTATGGAATGATGCTATGGCAAACTCAATCAAAATATCTGACTCGAAAGAAATACTTACTAGCGCCGGATGTTTACTCCAAATCAAGCAATTTAACCTTAACAGTTTAAAATTCAAATTAGAACGCCCGATATTTATTTTAAAATCAAACAATTTAATCTTAGCAGTTCAAAATTCAAGTTAGAATGCACATCATTGATTGATAAATGTGTGTAAGAAAATGGATACAAGCAAATTTTTATATTTGTGTTGTCAAACGTATTACCTTTCCAAAAGCTCGAATTGCATTGTGTTATACCAGTTGGATTCGAACTATCTTGTTGAAACTTAATATTATGATTTGGAAATGACTCGAAATCTGCCCACTTCATTGAATCTGATGAAAAAGACATGAACGGCAGCCCCTATGCCAAGTGTTTGTGACTGGATTTACCATTCCAACAGAAAAAAATTTCTTTTTTGAAAAGAAAAAGAAAAGTTTTCGAGCAAAAACCAATTTTTAGTGGATACGAAAAGTCCTCACACATATACCTAACACGTCAGTACGTCACTCTACGACGTCAAGCCGTCAAAGCAACCACTAATGCTTATATTAAAATAGACTGTCAATATCATATCCCTTGCAAAAGCAAATCTATGTAAGAAATAGAGAAGTTACTGGCACCAATAAAGTTCAGTAAAAATTCCATATATATACATGTATATGTCTTTAAAAAAATAGTAATATATTAATAATGGACATCATATATGCAAACAGATTTTGGTTGAATCAAACAATGCATTCCGCGACCTTCAAATCTTGGGTCAGCCTCTGACTCCTAGGGTGCGACTCTTCCTCAGACCCTGTATGAATGCGATATGCTTTGTACACAGAACAACCCTTTTTATCATAATTGTGGTGTTCGGATCGACTTGTGCACAACTCAACTAATTTCGCAGAATACTTGTTATCTTTCACCAATATATGTATCAAATAATGTCCCTAAAATATAGGCAAATGAAAAAAAATCACCTAATATTTTCGCTTCGACTGGTATTTGCTTCAATTTTAGATTTTTTAAAGAAAAATGACATTGTATAGCCACTGTAAAAATAATAGCCGAAAATGTATATAAAATTTATATATATTTTGGATATATATATACATTATGTATGTTCTATACAAAAATAAGAACAAATTTTATACACTTTTTCGGCTATCAGATGTAAATAATTTCTGGCGCGGGCTAAAAGTTATAATACCCCATTTTTTAAGGGGCATTTGCATCTATACCCGTTTTTTGTGTCACGTTTTAACTTATGCCCGCTTTGCAAAAAAATTTTGCAAGCGTACCCCCTTTTCGCATAACTTGAGCATAAGGGGCTAAAGTAGCAAAGACAATCACGCAAAACTTCAGCATTCTAGTAGACATGCCTGAAGTTCAGCTCTAGAGCTGAAGTTTTTTGTTTTTTAACTGGCGAACTTCAGCTCTAGAGCTGAAGATTTTGTTTGTAACTGGCGAACTTCAGCTCTAGAGCTGAACTTTTTATTTTGTAACTGACAAACTTCAGCTCTAGAGCTGAAGCACTACAATTAGCAGTGATTTTTTAAGAAAAATAGTGTACATCTTCTCAGCTCAAACACGAATAAACATACAAAAACTCCAAAATTTTATAGCTCATCCTATTGGTAACTTAAACTTTTTTCTAAGACTAATTTGCTGTAAATTTGGAGCAGAAGTACAACCGCCGAACTGTTCAATTAAAAAAAATTGCGTATAACTAAAGCAGCGCTGCTTCTGGAGATAACTACCATTTTGTTTTGTAACTTGAAGAAGAAAATGAAGGAGGAGAAGGAGGGCTGAAGTTATCTAAAAAGTGGATACAAGTTAAAAGATTTTAAAAAATGGGTATATGTTAAATTGGGACGACCAAATAAGACGCCCCGTACAATGTTTACATTTTTTAAAGTATGCTTTATGGTTGTGGGCCCAAAAGATGGAATGAAGAGCCCAAATGAAACTCATCTTTCCAAGATTCATTGGAACCTACTTTTCGTGCTCTTTATCTTCCAGCTCAGATGTAGCTCATACAATGCAGCCACTAAAGTTTCAAATCATATCTTCTTCCATCTATTACACACTCAAAAAATGTGCTATTTTAATATTTAAAAAATGTCATCCAACTTCAAAATTTAAGGATAATAAAAAGTCATGGCAATCTAATTGAGCCTTTATACACTATTTAAATTTAATTTTTTCGTCTTACTATGTTTGATACTCTTTTTTGCATGTAATAAAGATTGTCACCTTCCTTAATTTAAAAATTAATTCTTTTCTTAATTTCTATTTTCTCCTTATTTACATGCAACTTGACACGATTTTGTAGCAAGTTTCAGCATATTTGTTAGGAGTTATTTGATTACTGTATTAAAAAAAATTATAAAAATAGCACGGGCTAGTTAATTTTTGGATTAGTAATCAAAAAATAGCTAGCGTTTGCAAAGTCATTGAAAATGCCCATTATTTTGCTGAAATACGGAAAGTTCCAGCATAATATGTGAAATTATGAAGATTCTGTATATAAACTTCTCGTATATTATGTTGGAACTCCAGCATATTATGCTGGAAGCTTATATGTAAAAAATTAGAACTCCAATATATTGTACTGGAATATTTCTGAATTTTTAAGGGTGTTTTTGTTCATATTTTATCTTTACATGAAAAATGGTTAAATTTCAATTACTTTGGAATCTGTGACTATTTTTCAATTATTGCTCTTAATACATAATTTTTTAAAAGTAATTTTTAAAAAATTATTTTTTTTTGCTTCTCAAAAACTACTTTTGTACCTATTTAAAAGTATTTTTGTCCTTCTAAAAATTCGACCTAACACCTTTAACTTTGAGAAAAAAGTATTCTTGGCCCAAAAAAACTTGGCCAAACACCTAGTCACACAAGTCAAAAAAACAAAGCAAATAGGAGTACTAATAAATATTAAAAGTTCGATCAAACACCTTTAACTTTAAAAAAAATGTACTTTTGGCCCAAATAACTCGGCCAAACACGCTAGTCGCACAAGTAAAAGAAAAACAAGGCAAATGGGAGTAATAATAAATATTATTACCACTATTGTACTGGATATAAGTGGGTTGAAAATGGAAAAATGAAAGAAAATGGGAGTAATAATAAATAAGAAAATTTGTGCATATCCTTAGTAGTCCCAAATAATTTAATACTGCCTTAAAAGTGTAGACACAAAATCAAAGGAGCAACTATAAATTCGAAAGAAGTGGAACAGCCAAAACCAAATTCACATGTTTACAATTTCAGGCAAGTCAAACAAAGAAACCACCAATTTTGCCTGAAGAATCTTTCTTTAGTAAGAAAATCTTGATATTTTCCTTTCCTTTTTTCTTTTAAGCCACTTGTGAAAAATTATGCATGCATGTAATTAAATGTGCTTTTTATGTTGTCTCATTTTCAGACGTTACAAGTGTGTGATGATTCTATTCTTCATGTGATATGTAGTACTCCTTCTGTTTGTTTAGCTGATTTTGTATCACTACATAAAGTCCAAAAGTTGGTATGTTTGTACATTTTTTCATCTTTTTCTGATTGATGGGGTGGTGGGGTTTGGTTTGTTATGAAAAAATATTTAAATAAATTCCAAATTTTGATTCTTGGGTTTTGTTTATAATTATTTGTATATGTGTACTTGTGTTATTTCTCTTGATTCTTGAATTTGTGGCTGGGAAAGTATCTCTTGGGCTGGGAAGTGTTGGGGTTCTTTTTCCTACTGATGGCAAGTGATTTTTCTTTTCTTTTTTTTTCTTCTTTTTTTGTGTGGTTGTGTGTGATTTTCCTTGAAGGGGGGAATGCTACTTTTTATATTGATTTAATATTTTTTTTGAGGGATTTGATGATTTTTTTTTGTTTTCTGTTTATTAACTGGTGGAATTTGGTTTGCAGTTGAGTGAATTGTCTCTTTTGTTGCATTTTTTATCAACAAGGACAGAGAGAGTATTGGATCAGTGTTTGTGACTTTGTTCTGCTATATATTTGAAGAACAGAAAAGGAGAAGCTTACACAGTATGGCTTTTTTCATACCTCTATTCTTTTTATCATTTATGTTTCTCTTAAACTGTATAATGTTCTATTCCATTTGGAGTAGCTGAATTTGAGTCAAAGGGTAGCCCCGTGCACAAGGCATCCCGCGTTCAAGCAGGGTCCCGGGAAGGACCGCGCCCTAAGTGGTGTGATGTAGACAACCTACCCTAATGCAAGCATTAGTGGCTGCTTCCACGTCTCGAACCCGTGACCTATAGGTTACACGGAAACAACTTTATCGTCGCTCCAAGGCTCCCTTCAATTTGAGTCCTTAGCTTATAACCATCAAATTCT